GGGAGAGGGAGGGAGAGAGAGGGAGAGGGAGGGAGAGAGAGCGTGTCAGACTAAATGGTCAGACCAGCATCCACAATGACAAACACGAGCACTGGTGCCTCATGGGACAAGACGAAACTGACACCTCCTCCTAGAAGCAGAAAAATGAGCTGACAGAATCTAGGAGACCAGTGCAAAGGGCTCACCTCAGCTTCCCTGGAGGACATGAACTTGAGCACCACGTGCTTGAGGTACTCGAAGTTGATCTCGTGCGCGTTGCTGAGGTTGGCGTTGTTTGTGACGGTGGAGGAGGTGCTGGATGTGGTGCCCAGGGTAGGGACGCCGGACAGGCCCGGGGCAGATGCCTCTGGGCTGGGCCTCTCGCTCTTTTCCTGCCTGTCTGCCTTGGCTTCCTGTCGCTTCTCCTTCCCCTCGGCCTCCGGTTCCGGCTTCAGCTTCTGTACCCGGGACAGACACAGAGCATAGTGAAGCTCCATTCATTGCCCTGGGGAAATTCTCTTTTTGCCTGCACCATCTTGCTCTCCATGACACAGAGACAATCATACAAGTGACAGGGAGTTTGGGGCCCACAGCACAGGGTCAGCCAGTTTGCAGTGCCCCTGGAGCTGGGGGTTAAGGGCCTTGAACTGGGGCCCAGTGGTGGCATCAGTCTGCTGGCTTGTGAACAGCAAATGATGATGATGATAAAGATAAAAATACATAAATCAAATGACAACAGCCCAACCATAAAATTTGGATGGAAGATTCTTTATTTGCTTTTCTGGGATACCAGACATGAACTGGCACTCAAGGTAAAAACAAAATGTATTCAAATTTGGGCAGAAATGAAGCCTTCACAAATGTGGGGTATATCTACTGAAGCCTTCAGAAATACGGGGTATATCTACTGAAGCAGCACAGCACAGTTCTCAGCCGTGACACGGCAAGCGGCTGGCCGGACTCACCAGCTCCTTCTGCAAGGTCCTCTTCAGCTCCGCCAGCCTCTGCTGCAGCTGCTTGATCGTCTGCAAGATGTCAGAAAGTCAGACAACACAGAGAATAATAAAGTTAGCACCTTCCTAAAGCTATGGAGAATAGAGAGTCATTGGGAAACTCTGGGGTCTGTGGCTCTGAGTCACTGGAGGCTACAGTGAAATTCCTGCAGAAGTAAATGAATCCATAAAATGACTTTGCAGCAGTCAAATCAAAATCAGCATGGATTCAGGTCTCTAACAGCCTATAACTATCACAGCATTGTTACAGCTAAATAGTTCATCAAGATTGGATACAGGAAAGCTTGGAGCTTGTGTCTAGCTCGGACACACCCAGGATCACGGTTCTAATGTCTCATTACAGGACTACAGCAAAAGGAAAGGGGAGCCGACCTGATCACAGGCTCCCTGGAGAACATGAACCTGAACCCACGTCTGAGGTTCTCACGGGAGGTCAGTACGGTTGCGATTGGGATTCGCCAAGGTGTGAATTTCGGATCAGCAGCTTGCCCCGCTGAGGTGACCCCTACACACCTTGTTCTTCTCGCCGAGCTGCTGCTCCAGCTCTCGGTTAGTCCTCTGCACAAGCTCCAGGTCATCCACGGTCACCACCCCGTTCTGCTCCACTTGGCACACGGCCTGGGCATGCGGCTGCTTCATCAGGGTCTCCACCTCTCCCCCGGGGTTACACACCTGCAAAAACACAGTCGGGGAAGGGGGGGGGGTGCCATTAAAGGCCACTGCCCTTCCCTGGGAACTCATCCACCCTCCCGACCTAATGCACGCACCCGGAGTGCAGGGTTTTACACTCATTCTGCTGGCTTGTTCCAGAATTTCTCAAACTACTCAGAGCTAAAAAGGAATTCCTCAAAAATACAGTCACTACACTAGTCACCACATTTGCCACAGTAACCCAAACCAAACCTGTCAATCCCTGACACAAAGCAGTGTTTGTCTCTGTTAGGTGGCTTATCTGTGGTTTATCCGTCTCCCTTGGTTCTGACCCGAGACTGCTGGGTATCTACCTGCTGATTCTGGGCCAGCGCCTCCTGCTGCAGGACCCCCAGCTGGGCCTCCCGCTCCTCCTCCCGCCGCCTCTGGAGCTCCACTTCCGCCCGCAGCTCCTCCAGGCTAGAACCAGAGGCTCGCAACTCTGAGGAGCGCAAAGCACCACCACAGCAGTCAAGGGGACTGACAAGCCCAATCTTGGGAGGCTTTAACATATGCAAAGATACAGTTTACAGGCATCTTTAAACAGGGCCGCACCAACAAGCCCCTTAGAAGGACGTGAAAGAAGCTATTTGTAATTTCAAATGATACCTCGGTACCTTGAAATGTAAAGAGTTTTTAAAAATAAAAGGCAGAGAACTTGAAAGTTAAAACTGCCAAACTGATACATGTTGAGATTATCTGCAGGAGTGACGAGGCAGAATGAAAGACATGGGTCAGCGATTTAGAGGAAAAACTCTCGAAATAACCCTCTCGTTTGTTTATACTGCAGGTCATGAAGCTATGGCTTGATTGGCTCTCACCTTCCTGGAGGGCGTGCAGCTCTGCTTCCCTCTTGACCAGCTGCTCAGTGACCCTGACCAGGTCGTCCTCCTTGGCCTTCAGAGTTGACTCTGTCTCTCCCACCTGCCAGGACAGCAATGGAAGCCCAGATAAGAGACACTGAGGCTCATCTCTTCTGCTGAGCGAATCCAAGTGATTATCAGGCTCTTATTTAGAGAGACTGAATTTACATTTAAATTTAAAGACACTTTTAACCAAAGTGATACACAACTGAAAATGTAGGGTCAGAGAATACCTAGAGTAACTAGGGATAAAGGTCTTACTGTGCTCACTGGCTTTGAACCAAGAACCGTCTGCTCACTGACAGACTCCTAATTCTATTCTGTTATTAAGCTACAGGTTGCTGAACTCGCACAACAGTTATACCATAACCTGACTTAAACAAAACAATAGGTTACTGATATTTTAGTTATCCAGCTACAAGAGTAATGTTGAGGAACCTAAGAGAACCTTAGAACAGGGCCCCTGTGCCGGGATGTGAACAGACAACCTTCCAGTGTGTCTGCTGCTGCACTCCCCCACCCCTACCTGTTGCTGCAGCTCTTCTTTCTGGGTCCTCATCACCTCCAGATCCTTGACGATCTCCACGCTGACCGCCTGCCGGCTCGCCAGCTCTGCCTGGGGGGCGGAGTGGGGGTATGAACCACTTCATCAACCATTTTATAAAAACAGCAGCTCCCCACCTCGGGCGTGAAGCTTTAACCCACTGGCCATAATCCCAGACTCTCAGGAACCCAGCCTTGCTTACTCACCCTGGCCAGCTCTAGTTCTTCAGCCTGCCTGCTGAGCTCCACCTCCACCTCGGCCCGACCCCGCAGCAGTACCTCCTGCTCCAGTTCCATCTCACTCTGGGGGGGAACGGGGGCGGAGATTTCAGGAAGGGGAAGATGGAGGACAGCACAGGGTCTGTGCAATATTCTCCATGACATTCTTTGCACTGTGGCTGCATATTATTGTGTATTTTTTGCTACTGCCAGTTAATGCCTAAATACTTTTTTACTCTAAATGTGTGGGTTGTGCTACTATAAACCTGTAATTTCCTTTAGGATTAATAAAGTTTCAATCAGTCTAGCTGGACAACAGTCTGTCAAGTGATACAAACTCAGATGGAACATGAACAATAAAAAAAAAGCACATATACAGGCAGACACGCGCAGGAGCAGCGCCACGCAGATGCACAGGGGCACACAGGCACAGGAGCACAGCCACACACGTGCACAGGGGCACAAACACACAGGTGTTACTACCTTCACGGTCACTGTAGTTTATATAAGAACTTGTGTTTCAATTTACACTTTCCGTTTTTACAGTATTGTTTTCACACCAAACTTTCTTGTGACCTGCCTATGAGTGTGTATAAGAATCTCTGACTTCATACAGCCCCGGCATTAATCAGATTAATCTTTTTTTATCCTCCTTCCAAGGGGGAAAAGCTAATTAGCGGATCAAGTCTGCATGCTTAACGCCAAAAGCGAGAGCTAGCGGTGATACCCACAATCCTGTGCTGGGCGGCAGTGCGGTCCACGTCCCGCGCCGTCTCCAGAGCAGCCACCTGCGTCCCCAGCCGGACAAGAGCCTCCTGGTCCTTCTGCCGCAGGCGCTCGCTGCTCAGGCTCCACTCCGCCTGCTATGGGGGGGGGGTCACACAGCCCGACTCACTGGTGTACACTGCTCACAAAATCTTATTAAAATAGAGCCCAGAGACTCAGAGAACAGAGATGAACTGCCTGTTATTAGGAGATGATAAACAAACAAACCTCACACATGAATTAATGAGCAACACCAGTCACACTGTGGGATATCTCACATATAGCATTGCTGTAGGTTATTGACCATAATCAGTGATTATTACAAGAAAACTGAGGCCCATTTACCTCCTACAGTGTGACAACCTCCCCTTCAATGACAGAAAAAGCAGCCGTTTCCTACACACAGGCTTAATTAAAAACACTTTTCTTCACAAGTTCCCCCTCGAGCTAATCGTACACAACGCCCCCTTGTGGGCCTTACCAGCTTCTGCATGTGTGCTTCTCTCTCGCCCTCTTGCTGCTCATTGCTCTTCAGCATCTCCTGGTACTCTTGCACCTGGTGCTCAAGGGCATTGATCTGTAGGGGGCGCCAAAAGCCCAAGTTAGGAGCTTGCCAGCAGAGCGCTGTACCATGTGGGTTTAGTGACAGAATACAGAGAATATCAAATCTTGGGAAACAAGAACATTTATAACCAGTTTCTATGAAATAATCATTTTGCAACTTGAATTTCTATTGAGGTGACATTTGATAGTGTTTTGCGGGTCAAAATATATTTCAATTTAAGGTTGTCACTATCGATTATATAAATGATTACTTGATTATTGATATTTAATAATATACTATATACACACGGCAATTGGCACGAGGCAGGAAGCAACATAATACTGCAGGGTGCACGCTCAGTCACACAGACACTCAATTTAGGAACTCTAGCTGAATTAAGTTACATATTTCTGGACAACGGAAGGAAACCGGAGAATTCGCAACCACACGGGGTGAACACACAAACTCTACACACAATCAGCAGGGGTGTGCAGCAACAGCGATACCCATTGCGACACCGTGCACAATGCATGATGTTAATATTAACATGGCATTTCATGCACACGCAACTCACATCGCAAGGACCGCGACAGTCAGCTGGGTTCACGTCAAACCAGACAGTGCAACGCTTTCATAAGAAATTAAACAAAAATGGGTGGAGAGGAGAAAAGCAAACAAGAACTGGTCACAAAGACACATTTATCTTCTGATATATAGAAATATTTTGTACTACATAGAGACAACACTGAGATAGAGAGATTTGTCAACGCTGCTTTGTGTCTGTTGTCGTTAGTTGTTCCAATACCACCAACTTACGGCAGACTCTGCTGGTTCCATTTGGCTATATAATTGACTATTAATTTTAAACAGTATAGTTCAGCCCCAACACACAATATGCTCACAAAAAATACTGTATGGTTATGAACAGTTTTATGCAAGCTGATGTGGCCGAGTGACGTGTGATGTGGCCGAGTGACGTGTGATGTGGCCGAGTGACGTGTGATGTGGCCGAGTGACGGGTGATGTGGCCGAGTGACGGGTGATGTGGCCGAGTGACGGGTGATGTGGCCGAGTGACGGGTGATGTGGCCGAGTGACGGGGCTAACCTTTGTTTTAGCAGGAATTATTTTGACATACAGGAATAATGGAAAGTAAATTAAGCAAAATAATTTAAGCCAATCTGATGACAAAGACAGGCTACTCTGCGAGTCTAAATGGCACATATTTATGGCTAATCTCGCATTATTGAGTGAGTCCATTGTACCTGAATGTCTTCCTTTAAGATATATTTACATTGCAGTCGTTCTGTGGTGATATTTAAGTTCTGCTTTGCAACACTGACAGACGACTGCATTTTCATTCACTTAATGTTTAGTGCTTCCACATAAAAATTATGCTTTTGCTCATTATTGTGACCCACTATGCACGTCTTCCTTCTGCCATACTGGCGAGTAATCGAGAAAGAATATTAAAAAGAGCATCAATTTAAAATTAATCGGGACACCCTGGACTGGATGCCAGTCCAGCCCAGGACACGCAGTGACTGAGTGCAGTTTCAGGATGGCAATTCACCTCATGTGTTCTGACTATGGGAGCCAAGCAAATAACCCAAAGGAAACACACAAACGCAGGGGGAAAAGATCAGACACTGGCATTAACCGAACCCACAACCTTGCCGAACCACCAAGCGAATACATATAGCATGAAACTAACTCCAAGCAGTACAGGTACCAGGTACCAGGTACCACCTAAACAGAGACATGGTGGACTGAGGGGCTGTGACCCTCACCTGTGCCTCTGAGCTCTCTCTGAGGGACCTCAAACTGTCATCTTTGGTTCCCAGCACCACCTGCAGTTCCGCCAACGAGCCATTGAGCCTGGATATCTGGGGAAACGCACCAGTCAGTCTCCCACCAGGCAGGAGGTATCCGCATTTGACTGGGAGGTGCTGTGCCGCACACGCTCACCTGCGCCTCCAGGGTGCTGACCGCTGCGCCGTGGCTCGTCCGTGCCTCCAGCAGCTCCGCCCGCGTCTCCTCCACCTTCTGCTCCAGCACCCCCTTCTGCGAGGTGACACAGCTCATGAGCGTGGCCCCGGCTTTGGGAGAGGGCACGCGTCTCGTGCAGTTACCTCCTTCAGCATCTCCTCCAGGTGCTCGTCCTCCGTGAGGTTGCCCTGCAAGCGTCTCTCCAGCGAGCAGACCTTCCCCTGCAGGTCCCACACCAGCCGGTCTTTCTCCTCCTCAGCCACGGCCACCTGGATAAGGTTAGAGCTCGACTGTCAGAAACACATACATCAAGACACAAACATCTCAGTCAAGATGCCACAGATGAGGTTCCTCACACTCCCCATGATCATAATAGTATCAGAAGGTTGCTGCGATTGGACACACATGAGCAAATAACATTAAATCAAACCCACAACCTTGCGGAGGTCCTTAACCCGAACTGGCCCAGGAGTGCTGACCCCAAGATTGCTCTCACCTGTATGTGTGTTTATATCTCTCATGGAGAGTAATGACGCTTATCCCCTGCCATCAAGAACGAAGCTGTACTCGAGCCGTACCGCTAACTGGTGGATTTCCATTGTAAATTATGCTATGCAAATTATGCCCACACTGACATGACCCTGCTTACTGGCAGTGAGCCCAAACTGAGCGGGTTGCATCACCACCATCCCATTGGTTGAAATTCATGGAGTTCTGCATCAATATACATGGACTATTTGAAGGAAAAAGGGCATATTCTATGTTATTCATTATTAGTAGTATCGCTCATCATGATGTATTCCAGAAAATTTGGAACTGGAAAATTTTCAACCACCTAACTAAAAAAAATACTGCAGAGTGGCTGAACGGAATGGATACACAATCACTGTTTTATTACAATGGCTTCATGAGGGTCGCCAGTCCCATCTGACAGGGCGGGCAGGTATAAAGCGGCAGGGGGTGGCGGTGTGTGGCGGCTGATCTGGGCTCCCACCTT